GTCCCGCGACGCCAGCGCCTCGCCGAGCCGCGCCAGCGGCTGCTCCAGCTCCGGGCCCATCTGCAGCGCCGTGCCGGCCACCTGCGGGACGGAGCGGCGCGGCCGTGCCGGGCTCGTTGCCTCGCGATGCCCCGGGTCCCCCCTCCTCGGCTCCGGGTGCCCTCTGAAGGCACCCGCTCCCACAAAACCTCTGGCATGGCCAAGGGTGCTGTCCCAGGGCTGCAGTCACCCAGTGGAGATGGCACCGGGATAATGGGCTTTGCCCACACTGCAAGTGGGACCTCCCCATCCCTCCCTCCCCAGGCGGCTTTCGGGATGCAAACCAGGTGCAATTGGACCCGCAGGGAGCTGCAGGGCACCCAGCCTGGCAGCCAAAGCCAGAGGGCACCCAGTGTGCATCTCCAACCCCGCCGTTCACAAAGGCCCTTTCTGCGGGGCTGACATCACCCACAGCCAGCCGGGACGGAGCCCGGGCTCCCGGGATGCTGCGGCGTGGGGACGGACATGGGGATGGACATGGGCATGGGCATGGGTTGGGGTTAGGGTTGGGGAGCGCGTGGCACCGCGTGCCCGTCCCTACCAGGGCGTCGATGGCGCTCAGGGTGTGGTTGGCGCTGTCCAGCGCGTAGAGCAGCTGGTAGACGCCGTCGTTGGCCTCGCTGTTGCCGTAGAAGCCGGCGCCGACGGCCGCGCTGCGCACGGACAGGGACAGGGACCCCGCGTGAGCGGAGCGGCCGCGCCGGGCACCGACCCCACGGTGGGTTTTACACCAGCCCCCGGTGAGCGCCGGGATCCCCGTGCTGATCCCCGCGGGGCGGCAGCGCGGCCCCGGCGAGCCCCGGGAACGGTGCCGGCCCGCGCGGCCCTTCCCGCCCCGTGGCAGATGCTGACAAAGGCAACGGACACCAGCGCCTTTGTCCCCACCAGACCCCAACGGCTGCTCGCAGCTGCGAAGTGCCCCTGCCAAGGCACCGCGGGGGGGCCGAGCCCCCGGCGCCCCGGAAAGTCCCGGCCCAGGGAGCACCCCATGGCCCGCAGCCGGCGTCCCCCCCGCGCGGCGCGGTCACGGGACGGGCCCGGCGGGCTCGGCACTGCCGGCCGCCGGCTCCGCGCAACATTTGCAGCCGGAGACAAAAACAGAGCCCAAAATGGGCCCTTTGTCTGCGCGCGGCTGCATCAGAGCGGCGGCCTCGGCCCGCGGCTCCCGGCAAAGGCCGCGCTTGCCGGGCCCCGCTGCTGCCTGCCATCTGCTCCCGCCCGGGATTAGCGCCCGCCGCCCCCGCTCCGGGCGGGATTAGCGGGATAGGCCGGCACCGGGACGGGGCCAGCCGTGGCCCGGGTTGAGGGGACGTGACGTGGCCTCACCAGCACACGAGCCCGGCCACCACGGCCGTCCAGGTGACGCAGCAGGAGTCGGGCCGCTTGCTCTGGGGCTCCGCATCCCGCTTGCAGCAGCACAGGCAGATCAGGTAGGCGGTGAGGAAGAGGAGGTTGAGGCCGAGGCAGACGGCGGCCACCAAGGCGAGGAAGAGCAGCGACTAGGAGAGGAGAGAGGCTGCAGTGAGCACCGGCACCCGCGTGACACCCACAGCTGTGCCGGGACCCCGCGCTCCGACCGGCCACTTCTGCCACCCGGGGCTTTCCCCAGGCGAGGAAAGAGGAAGCGGCGGCAGCGCAGGGCACGGCCGAGCGGGGCCGCGGCCGAGGGCACATTAATTATGTTCAGGCCCCTGCTGCCCCGGGCGCATCCCGCGGGCTGGATTCGCCGCGGTGCAGCGGGAAGGAGGCGCGTGAGCCGCGGCTGAAGGGCTCTTTGTGCAGCGGCGCGCGGGGCCTCGCGGCGGGGCCGGCCGCGCTTTCGGAGCCGGCCGCTCCGGGGCCCGGCAGCGCCGCGCCGGGAGGGATGCGGCAGCAGGAGGGATGGGGGCTGCTGCAGCGGCGCGGGGCGATGCCGTGCGGGAGCTGGGCACGCGCCACGGCTCCTCCACAAAGTCCCTTGTGCCCCGCGGTGCCAGCGGGCTGGGCTCCATCGGGAAGGGCTCTGGGACCACGCGGGGGCCGCATGGCTGGAATGTGTCGGCAGCAGCGAGGCCGGGGTGACGAAGGGAGCTTTGTGCGGGCGGGAGGGACCGGAGCTGGCGGCACCGCACAGAGCAGCTCCTCGTGATGCTGCCCTCGGTGCAGGGATGTCGCATGGAGTCTGGGGATGTTGCATGGGGTGCAGGGACCTTTCACGGGGTGTGGAGACAATGCATGGGGTGTGGGGACATTGCATGGAGCGCGGGGATCTTGCTTGGAGTGTGGGGAAGTTGCTCGGGGTGCAGGGATGATGCACGGGGCGCGAGGACATTGCATGGAGCATGGGGACGTTGCATGGGGCGTGGGGACCTTGCAGCGGTGCAGACCCCCGCGCGGGGATGGGATCGCAGCCCCTGTTGCTGCTGGAGCCCCGCACGGCACAGGAGCGGACCGGAACCGCGCTCTCCCCGCAGCCCCCCGGCCCGCCCGGCC